GGGGTTGTGGGGGGGTGTGTTGGGGGCAAACTGTATTGTGATTTTAGGATTTTAGAGAAACTTTACTTTAACTTGCACTTAGTTTCCAAATATAATTTACACAAAATACCTAACCAGTGTGTGTCTGTAACGTGTGTATTTGCCATTCATATGTTTCTATATGATACACTCGGACAAATGAAATCCATATATCTATGACTAAGGTTGGGAATTTAGTGGCTTTGTGCTTTCTGGAGTTACGTTTGGCAAAGTGTTTTCATAAATGATGAATTACATCACTCAGATGAAGCTTTTTTATTTGCCTATTAGGGTAATTTTTTTTTTTTTACATATAATGCAATTCATTTATGTAATTGACTTCAGAGTTATTTTACTTTGCTATTGTTCTTTGCATTGTAATTCCCTCAGTTTTAATAACAGACAGATGCATATAGTTAATGTTAAAGTGTATCTGTAGTCAGATTTTTGTTTTTCTATTTTGTTAGAATGTTTAAAATGTCTTCTTTTTTTTTGTTTTGTTTACTTTTTGGGGAGATTTGCCTTTTGCTTCCTGTCCCAAAGACACAGCAGAGTGACAATGGCCACTAGTATAAAATGGAGAATGAATTTCCACAGTGTGGACACAAACAGCTAGAAAAACCTGATAGAAATTCTAGGCATTTCCCACCCTATCACAAACGAAAAAATTTACTTGAACTGTTTACATACAGTAACATGTTAAGCTCTATGACCGAATACTTTTGTGTCTCCTTTGTAAATCAAAAGACAGTTAACAAGCTTGCAGATACTCCCCCACCCCCCTTCACTGAATGCAGCATTTAGTTCTCACTGTGCAATTCTCCTGGCCATTTGACAACAGTCTGTGTTCTTTAAAAAGATAGCACTTATTTCCTTGCAAGTCAATTTTAGGCTGGTTAGTTGTAGTGTCAGGTAACAGTTTACATTTAATGGGGCTGCGGAGCTCTTTTTTACTTTTATTTTTGTTCCTCTTTTTTATGTTTCGGGGAAGGCTAAAGGGAGAATCTCAGAGAGAGTTCTTTGCTTTACTCTACACAGACCTAGGCTGCCCTTGCAGGATCCCCTGCCAGGATTTCTATCATCTTCTGATCAAATATTAATGTATGATTCTCTGCTTGCTCACTAATCCAAAGCCAATTAATATTATCTGTCAATTATTTACAGATCCTGAGCTGCAGAGGATCTTCCCAGAAGACTTCAGTGACCAGGTTTGGAATACTTAATTAATTTTTACCCTTGTTTTTTTACGTGACACCACATCCTTTTCAGTGATAGTTATTTAATGTGCTGTTGCCTGTGTCCATTAATAAACACAGGTGAAATCTGATTGCATGAATTTAAAATATGTACAGCACTTCTGAGCAAGATGTCAGTGCTTATTGAGTAGAAGTTTATGTCCCTATATGTTTATGGTGTTTGGAGACAAGGGTTCATACATTTCAGAATACATTTTTCTCGTTAAAATGCTGGAAAACAAAGTACATTACACACACACACACACACACACACACACACACACACACACACACACACATACACGTTTCAGTGGTAAAGGGTATATTTACCCTTCAGGGTTGGAAGAAAGCATAGACATGCAAAGTAGCGTATTTTGGCCTTTTGCCCACAGACAAGCTATAGAAAGAACTAGGTGTGGAAAAAAAACCATAGCAACCTGTCATAGGTCACATCACTGTGTCAGATCAGTGATCTGCAAATCATAGTTGATAAAGGTTATTGCATTGCTCTTTAACCTATTAAAAAATCTTGTTTATGTTCACCCGTCTTCAGCTTCTCTCACTTGGCCACAAGTTGGTTCCACAAGCAGGTTATGCAGGACATTATTTAGAAAGTGTTTGTCAGTGTTCTTCAAGACAAAGACGTATGCAACAAAGTCAGGCAAGATGTTGTCTCCGGCATTAACCAACATGCATTGAATCCTTCATGATGGTTTTAAAATGATGAGTTGACCCTTTTTCTTTTTTCATTGGTTTGTGAGGATCCATGACAGGTCTTCAGCTGCCCTGAACATTTTGTCCTCTAGTTGCCCTATGCATGTCTTAGTCTCTCTTGGGAAACTTGCCTTTAAAGGGAACCTACTAAGTTTGGTAACTGCCATTACTGAATTGTTTGTGAAGGTAAATGCTTGTAGGCTACCATCCTAATTCTTGCTTTGTTACTTACGGAGTCACCAAGTGTTGAATAAAGGAGAAGAATGACAGCAGTGGGATGTACAGTATGTTATACTGACAGTTTCCCTTTTACAAAGCTTACGATAGCCTTTAATTCATCTATGCTCTGAACATGCCCATTTGTTCGGGGTTTTTTTTTTTAGCAATGGTATTTTCCATAGATAAATGTAAGATCACACATCCTGAGGCACTTTGATAGTGTAATGTAATTTCTGCATATGTATGCAACTTTGCTTTACTTATAATTATTATGTAGGGCTAAAACAATTAATCAATAATGAGAATCTCATTATCAGTTGAATCTCCTGCTGTCATTCTGCTCCCCTGTTCTCCTCCCCGTTGGTGTCGGCTGCAGCGGTCTGTGTCCCTTTTAATCCCTGCTACTCTCCCTCCCTGTATCGACAGAGGCATCGGGAACGCAGACCACTGCAGCCGCATTTCCCGATTGCCCCCCCCCCTGCCGCCCCGTTCCTCTCCTGCCACCCCTTTTCCTTCTCAGCTGCTCCCCTGTGCTCCCTCTTCTGCCGGCAGTATGAAGCCAGCATCAACTACCCATCTAGCGGCTGGGAGCAATACCCATCCTGCTATTGGCTATTTTAAATTGCACTAGCAGGCTGGCTATTGCACCTGCCCAGTGCCTGCTGTCAATCAGTTCCTTCTCCTTCGGTTCCTTCCTCTACTGATTGACAGCAGACAGTGGGCAGGTGCAATAGCCAGCTTGCTATTTGCTATTGTAATTTGAAATAGCCAATAGCAGGCTGGCTATTGCTCCCAGCCACTGTATGCTGTGATTACATTCAGCTGTCTCAGTATGCTGCTGTCATTCCCCTAGCTAAAGTTATTGAAGTTAAAAGGTGACAATAGGGGTCTATTTGAACCCCTAATGTCACCTTAAAGAGAACCTGTCATCTGCAATGTGCTATCACATAGGGTGCTTGTGGACCCCACCATGTAATAGCAATAAAGTTAAGTAAAGATCAAAAAAAAGTTTAAAAAATATTAAGTAAAATAAAATTTAAAAATACCCCCCAAAAATGTAAAGTTCCCCAACCCCGCGAATGCGAACACATTCTAACAGAAACACAACTTGGGTGCACCTACGTAGGAAACCATTATTGCACATGCAATAATTCTCGGGCCAATATTCATGGCTAACACTAAACTGATGGCTGGGCTTTTATATACAGTATATATAATTTGTATTTTTTGTCCAATTTTGGTGTTATTTTAAGGAAAAGTTTGGTTATTTTATTATATTGCCTTAGAGTTTTAAAATTCAAATTGTTTTGCAATGCAATGCGATGCCACTTTTAAGACCAAGTGCAAGTACTTTCCCCTAGGTACTTGCCGATACCAATTACCAATACTTTTTTTTTTTTTTTTTTTAAAGGGACATGTGACAATTTTTCTAAAACAACACATTTGATTTTAGGGCAGTTTCTTACCAGAGCTAATAAAGATGTCACCAGAGCAGAAAACATTTTACCAAAGAAGAATACATGCCTTTGACAGCAGAATACATGCCCCCAAAGCAGAATCCAATGTGCTAGTTAAGGGACACTGCAGAGCCCAGCATAAATTCTGCACAGCCCACCTAAAACGGTTAATCCGTTCTGACGTGGTCACAAACCGATTTTGGTCGCGAACAGAATCAAATGAGGTTAATCTGTTCTGAACCATATGTAAAAAAAAATGTAACCACAAAAATATGAAACAAAGTACAGTATGAAGAGAGTGAACACTAACCTCGATCATGCTTTTCTACAATTTCCTTCTTCAATTCAACGGTTATTTTCTTCAAAACTTTCTTCTTACCATTCTTGCTCTGCACTTTCTTTTTACCACCATTCTTGCTCTGCACTTTCTTTTTACCACCATTCTTGCGCTGCACTTACTTTTTACCACCATTCTTGCGCTGCACTTACTTTTTACCACCATTCTTGCTCTGCACTTTTCACCACCATTCTTGCTCTGCACTTTCTTTGGAGCCATGCTTTATTGAATAATACTGTACAGTACTGTATGTGCTAAAAAGCACACAAAAAAGCTTCACAGCAAGTGTGCACAGGTCTGTCTGTGACCGCGATCTCGACTAGAGGGAGCCACAACAACGTGTCGGAGCGGGGAAGATGGCCGCAGTCGTGTTCGTCACCCGATGCAGAGTTCGTGAACGGAGGCAAAATTTTGCCGAACTTCCTGTTCGCAAACCGAATTGTTCGCGAACAGAAGCATTCGTGGTCGAGGTACCACTGTATATGTAAAAGGTGGGAAAAGTAATTTGCAGTTTCACCCTGACAAATTATGCTGCAGGAGGTGCGTTGCAGTGCCATTAATTTCAATGGATACCAAATGCAACTTCTGTCTGCAGTTTGATCACCCGCATTGGAACGCGCGGTACTGCAATGCCTTGCTTTCCAGTGCAGTGCGATTTCAAAAAATGTGCATACCGTTTCATTCTGAAGTAAACTTTGTCTGTAACGCTGCATTGTGTATTTATTATTTTTTTTTATCCGATTTTTTTGAGGTTAATAATCGATTATGAAAATAATCGTTTGCTGCAGGCCCTAATTATTAATTATGCATTTCTTTAATTTTTGCAAAAGGTGAACTTATCCTTTAAAGGAACTCAACACCTAATATTTCCTTCACTGTTGTTATTATTATTAGTAACATTCTTTATTTACAGAGCACCCACACATTGTGCAGCTTTATATATTATATGGAAGATGAATGTAAATGACAAACTCTAGGACAGTGGTTCTCAACCTGAGGGTCGGGACCCCCTCGGGGGTCGAATTGCGATTTGCCAGGGGTCACCTAGTCAGAAAAAAAAAAAAAAAACACCATAGGAATGCATAGCTAGATTCTTATTGGCTATTTCACTTTGCAAAAGCCAATAGCAAACTAGCTATTGCAACCGCCCTCTGATGCTGCCAATCAGCAGAGGGGGACCTGAAGTTCTCCACCAGGTCCCCTTCTAGTGATTGACAGCAGCAGAGGGCGGGTGCAATATGTATGTATTCAAGCAAAAAAATATGTAAAACACACCTCTAGCTATGCATTCCATTTTCCCGGTCCGCAGCTGCAGAGATCGGGCAATGTCTCAGTGCCTGTGATTGACACTGCGCACTGTCAGCTTCCTGGCGGGCTCGGCACGTGGAGCTGCGAACACGCCCGAGCCCATCCCTATCAGTGAAAGTACTGCGGAGTATGTACCTCATACGTTATATAGCCACACACTTTAAATCCAATTCTTCTAGTTCCAGCTGCAGAGCCCGGTCCTGTCTTTGCCTATAGCAGTGGTTCTCAACCTGTGGGTCGCTGTGCAAGGTGAGAGTCCTCCTCAGCTCTCTCCTAGCGCAGCAGAGTCAGTTCTCCTGCCACACCTCCAGATGTCGCTGCAGCAGCCGCGTCATCCCTAAATTTTACCTTTGGGGGTCACCACAACTTGGCAAGTGTTACCAAGGGGTCCCGGCCCTAGAAAGGTTGAGAACCACTGCTCTAGGAAAACATTTTATAGTCCTTTTTGTTTTGCTGCCTGAAACCACCTAGAACGAACTTGGACATTAGGGGTGGGGTTTTCCCCAGCAGCAAACCCAAATTTCTGTCATCCATTTCCTCCTCAGCTTTCACCTTTCCCTTATCACAATGCTCAGAGTCATATTGCACTGGCAACTTTGCTGCTGGCAACACTTTGTGCAACACATTTATTGAAATGCAATGGCTACTTTCCCCAATTTGTTGCCTTGCTAGCTGAAATTCTGCAGAAATCCAGTCACCAGCAATGGAGTGCCAGCCAGTTGACACTTTGCTGGTTTGGGCACTGCAAAAGCAATACTATGGGAACAGGAAGAGGGTTGAGGGCTTGTGTGCATCTTCGCAGTTGCAATGCGATGCGTTTTGCTGCAATTTTACCACAGTTGTACCGCAACTGATGCATTTTTTAAATTTTCTTAAAATTGGATTTTAGGTGCGTTCCAGTGCGTTTGCATGCATTTTTGATGCGTTCCATTGTGATC